AGTGTTTTTGTCCAAATTAAGACAAAAGAGAAAGCAGAGGCACATGAGCCTTCAACGCTAACGCACAACCACAGCGCCATCAAGTGGCTTCAAGACACCACTGCAGAGTCACTGAACAGGCGCTCTTGTTTCTGTTGAGTTTGATTTATTCTGAATGATTTCAGGTATTTGAGGAACTTTTGAAACTCCTACATAGATCAGTGATAAATGAAAATAACAGAAATTCCAGAAATATGTCCAAGAATTTAAAGAGATGTGAATGAGTCTTTTTAAAGATTTCACTTTAAAGGGTTTAGAAATTTGCAGCCTGAAGTATTTTCTCTGTCACTCAATAGATAAATGCAAAAACAAGCAACTCATTATCAAACTGTGTTCTGTCTGTATTATCATTGCTTATCTTTAAATATTCTAAAATACTCTGGGCCATGGTTTTAACTTTGTAAAATCCTTATAAATACACTGTAAGATATTTCAAGATGGCCACAGATGTAAACTGAAGAAGAAAATGGCACATTAAGAAAAACATCTTGAAAATAGACAACAAGGCACTGCAGTGAGATCAAAATAGAATCAAATGTTGGTGAAAGACGAGGGAAAGTCTGGTGTCTACACTGGAAAAAGATTGAAGAAGGTCCTTAGGAAAAGTATTATCTATTCTATAACACGTATCAGCTGTAAATAGCCTCCACACATTTAAAACATGAAGTGGAAACTTCACTGCTTATTGGACTTTAAGTGAGATCATAGATAACAACAACTCCTGATTTAAGCGGTTAATTTTCTTTACAATGAGATAATGTGATGATGATCATTTTGGTCGGAAATTTTGGCTTAACTCAGATTTTTGCTCAAAAATCAGAGATTAAAATGAGAATTTGGACTTTTTTCCTCATATTTCAAACTTTGTTCAGAATTTTGAAATCAAACTCAGAGTTTCAACTTTTCCCAAGTATTATGAGTTTTTTTTTCTCATGACTTTAAGTCTGAATCACATTTATTAGTTAAGTCTCAGAATTCAGACTAAGATCTCAAAATTTTGAGATAAGAAATAGTGAGAATTATTACTTTCCTTTTTCCAAGCCAAAAGTTTAAATTCTGAAAAAAATAATAATAATTTTAGGAGTTTTTATTATTATTATTTTATAGAATCTTCGAACTTTAAGTTTAAGAAAAAAAATTCGAATTCCAGCTATAAACCCAGAGTCCTGAGAAAAGAATCGAATTCATTTTTTTTTCTGTGAGAACACTGAATTGAAATAAAATATCTGAGTTTATTCTCAGAATTCTTCATTAAGAAAAAAAGTAAGGATTCTTTCTCTAATCTTAGACATCAAAAAAAGTCAGAAATTTGAGAATAAAAAAAACTATTCTCTTGATTCTGATTTTTTTCTCTTAATTCTGAGAGGAATTTCAGAATTCTGACTTGTGTTTAGAATCCTGGTTGTTTAATCAGATATTTTTAATCATCCTTTTCCTCTTCTGTACAGTGCAATATGAAGCATATTCAATATAAAACACGTCTGTGATCATCTGTTACTTCCCAAAGTGTTTTAGACTGATGACCATCCCTTTCTCACAGCCTTTTCCTGACCAGATAGAAAGCCTGCCACCTGCTAATGTCTTCCTGTGATGTGCTGTTCAACTATTCACACAAACCACATGATACACGTGTCTGACAGGTTTCACCATAGGAGCTGAAAAATACCTCCTCAAACAGAAAGACTTTAACCACTTAATCAGCAGCTCAGACGGGTTAGGTTTTGTTAAGACACACAAACAGTGACCCTCTCATCAACCCTCGTCTATTATATTTCTGTGAAAACTGAGACGTCTTTGTCTCCAAACAGGAACTTTGTAAACTTCAGGCCAAACCTGCAGAACTGAATACACTATATTGTACACTGCTCAACACTTGTTGCTTTTTTGATGCTTTACTGAGCTGCACATTGTGTGACTTCAAGTTAGTGGCCTTGACTGTAGTGCAGCTCCATACTGCAACAATGATGATTTTTTTTCCCACACAGGCTCTAGTGCTTCTGTTGTAATTTTTCTTTACAGCAAAAACAGACTTCAGCTATCAGGTAAAAAAAAAAAAAAAGAGAACTCAACCGGTTCTGCAAAATGCTGAAGCAAACTTGATCCACTTACATGAAAAGGGTAATTGTAAGGAAAAGAGGTTAACTGTGTTTTTTTGCACTTTTTGAACTAAAGCCCACAAATATTTTGTTGATCGGGCTCTTGTGGATGGAGAGGGAGTCATGCTCAAGCAGAAACCTTGGCTGTTAGAAAATACAGTCAGTGCATGGTTGAAATAAGACTGCAGTTTCGTAATAGGCCACCAGGGGGATAGCTCCATGATCATTACATTAAAATACCAATTTGTTCCTTATTATCTTACATGTTTACAGCCTGCTATAAAAAATGTTTTTAATCATTGTTCCATACACCAAAACAGCGGACAACTTTAGTGTTGTAGGTGGGCCAGTACACTCTGATATCCAGTACCACCACTCTTTAATGTAACCCCCTGGTATCAAAGGACATATTTCCTGTCACTGGGCGGTCTTTTAGTGTTGCTATTGGAAACTCACAATCATCCAGTGTTGACTTGTTCTGTGGAGTATCTTAGGGGTCGGCTCTGGGACCACTCCTGTTTTTTATTCATATATTGCCCCTGTGACACCATAGACTGTATATACTATGGACAACTTGGCTCCACCCCCCATCATTATACAAATTTGAAGCCGTATTGCTCTCCGTATTCCCGGGATTTTCTCCACTTCCTGGAACCACCATTTGTGCAGTAGCATTGAGTCTCTGCGCTGACGCTTGGCTATCCCCCAGGGAGCTATGCAATCTTCATATGCCCATAGGCTGTATCAAGTGGTCAATCATAAAAAACATGAACCCCCTAATAATTTTTAAAAATGAAGCTGTACAGAAAAAAGAGGACTTGAGCACAAACCAGTCCTACAATAACTACATGTCAACATCACAATCAGGGGGGAGAAAAGTTTATGTTCTGTGTAATTCATTTCTCAAGTTTGTCCACAGCTCTATAGGGATTGCTGGCGGAGGCGGGATTTATGACCTATACTGCAGAGGGTGCTGTTGTTGTGGTGGCTTCACCCAGCGATGAGGCAGACGCTGTCCATTCTATGTACAGTCTATGGTAGACACGCTATTGATTTTCATCTTTATGCTGACGACACCAAGCTTTACCTTTCTTTTACCTGAAATAGCCCCAATCACACTTTTCTTACTTTTAAATGAAGAAAACTGAGGTTTTATCAGCCCAGACACCCAAATCACCAAAAAGAGTTGTTCTCAGGAAATATTTCCAAAAATCAGAGTTGTTTTTGTGAACAAGCTCAGCCCGGAGGAACATATCAATTCAGTGGTTCAGTCATGTTTATACCAGCTGAGAAACCTTTCCAAAATCAGTCATGTGCTTCCTAAGAAACACAGTGAAACAATTGTACCTGCCTTCTTCTTCTCCCACCTGGACTACTTTAAATCCCATTATTTTATCTGTCACATCGAACCCAACATAATTTATCGCTAGTCCAGAATGAAAAAAGAGAGAGCACATCTCTACCATTTCAGCCTCCCGTCACTGGGGTCAGGTCAATTTAAGAAATTATTTAAAAATCTTCATATCTTTTAAAGCACCATCAGGACTTGCCTCAGAGTACATTCCAGGTTCTCCCTACACCTTTTGAGCTTAGCCCTGACCAAGGGGGACCAGGCTTTTTCAGTTAGGGCCCCCATTTTTGGAACAATTCACCAACTTTGGTGTGCATTTATTTGCAATGCTAATGTGTGTTACAGTTTACATGTTATGGCAGTAACTTCTCTCCTCTCAGTCTACTGTAGTTTATCCCACAATTTTAATCCCATCCCCCCAAATTTTCCTTTTTTATGATTTGTGGTGAGAAGGAGGACTTTATCCTGAAGTCGCAGATATACAGGTGAAACACTTAATCTGTCGTGTTTGTTCCTAGTAACAGATCAAACCGTCAGCTGTGTGTGACAGAAAGGTTGCGGCTATCTAGAGCTTTTGGTATGACTCATGTCACATTTTGTACACCACTAAAGATGTGAGCAAAATACCACAGAGGAGCTAACTGCTCTTCACACATTTTAATCACCACCAACTCATAGTGCATGTTTCAGATTCCGGGGCGTAACCTCACTTTTAGACAGAAATAAAAAGATTAAAAAAATAACAAACCACCATGTGAGCAGAAACGAGCCTGGAAGTAGAATAGAGGTTTGAATGTTTTGTGAAAAAATTGAGGAAGTTAAAGTGCAAACCTATGAATTATGGGCTGATGAGAAACAAATAGTAAAAGGAAACGTGGTCATTTATCACACCCAACACAGGAAACAGAAGAAGGTCAAGAACATATGTGAGAAGAGATTTGAGGAACCGAGACAAAAACTGGAGCTTAAATGAGCATCTGCTTAGTAACACGACCTTCGGCTGCTGTGTTCAAGACAAGAAAGAGAATAAGAGGTTATGGTATTCACGCTTAAATTTAACGGCAGATGGTCTTTGGCTTTAGTACTTAAAGGAAGCCCCGACATATCTGCGTGGTTATTCAAAAGATGTCAAGTCTTGAGTGCTGCCTTTTGAAGCAGCGAAGTCAAGAAGTCACAGCTAGAGTCCATTACCAGAACATATTTGTCGATACGAGTCAGGAGTCCCACTCAAATAATATATGAAGAGATGTTATTTTTTGGCATAACAGGAAGTTATTCTGTAAATTTGGTGAGTCCTTCACAGTTTGCAGTGTTGGTTACACTTTGTATAACAGCACCAGAAACTGAAACAAATCCTAGAGATGAATGCGTCAACCTTCTGTGTCAAACTCTTTCAACATCTCACTCTATTCAGTTACTAAAATGATTCAATATGAACATTTCTGTAGCTTTAATGATCCGTTTCAGTCCTGATGATGCTGTTGATTGTGGGTAAATGTGCAAAGATATCACTCTGACATTTAAAGCACAGTTTATAAAAAATAGAGCTGTACATCATCCGTGTGCAATATTATGACTATTTTATCAATTATAATATTCTGACGTAAAGGTTTAAAGAGAACAACCAGTGGATAAAAAGTTATAGCCTTCTAATACTGTAAGTTTTTCTATGACTTCTTGTGGCATAAGAGAGAATGGCATATTGCCATAGTTAATGACAAACACCCCATGTACTTGCTAGTAGATGCACTTTCAAGGGCGCAGTGTTACTTTTCCTGCACAGACAACATCTGAATCCCTTAAACCCACTGAAGGTTTGTGCGCCTCTCAATTTCTAAAAATGTTTTTTGTTTTTGTTGTTTTTTCTGAAACCACAGTGCTGAAAAACCACCCAGAGAGTCAACACGTAGATGTCGTGCAGTGGTTTTTTTAAACTCTAGCTAACCATCAGCTATTGTCCTGTCAGATGTTATCATTATTTACGGTGAAAGCTCTGCAGAGGCTAGACATCAAAAGAAAAGCTGCTCTGTTTCATAAGTCAAAGAGGGAAACTGTAAGATTCCCTTTCATAAAACAAAGAAAGGAACAAAATACTTCCTCTCTCTCTCTTTACTGTTGAGGGTTTTAAGAGAACTTTGTATTCTTCCCACTCTGTGATTCAAGATTACTAATCTCAGTTCCTGTTTAGTTTGATCTAAAGTAACTTAATTTGTTGACTCAGCTGTAAAATTTAACCTTTGTTCTTGAAACATTTGGATGCTGCTGTGTATTAGGGAAAAACAGTTTCTAATGGTTTGAAGTTCATTTAAACTCTATTTTCGATTGAAAGAGGTGATAATAACTAACAAATGAAGAACCTGAGAAGTGTTGGTGTTTAATGAGAAATATAATCTGATACCAGCAACACATTTTCATAAAAAGTGGTAAACAAAGCCTTGACAGACAGAGAAAGGATGTTAATAAAGATGAAACATTCCCAACAAACGAAACAGAGCTGTTAAAGTGGCGGTGTTTTCATCGTCAATATACATCCCGTCACTCTGCTGGTTGTTTTAATACGTCAACAAGACGAAAACCTGATAATAACAAGCTAAAAAGAGATATATTGACACAACTGTGCATGTAAATGTTCTGTATGTAACATTATTTGAATATTTCTGGACAGGTTTTACTTTAAAGTTTGAAATATATATGTAGGTAGCCTATTCTACCATTGCTGACAATGTTAGGCTGACATAATTTTAGCCCCAAGGTAATATGGTGGAGGCTCCTGTCTGCCGTTTTTATCTCATTATCTGCTGCTTTTCTTTCTTTCTTTCTTTCTTTCTTTCTTTCGTTCTTTCTTTCTTTCTTTTCTTTCTCTCTCCACTGTTTGTATCCTCTTTATTTTTCATCGCCTGTTTTCTGTCAAACTCACTGTCTGCACTGACCACAATAATCATGCTCTGTAATCAGAGGACAGTTGCAGGCCTGTGGGGCAACAGCAGGTGAGAGAAATGCAATTTTCATGACTTAACTGGTCAACAATTTAAGAAGAGTTACTTATGGCTCCGACTTCCTAACTGTGCTGCTGTTTTGGAGTAAATTTTAGGGTCAAAGTTGAATTTTTAATTTTTAGTTTCCCACAATAGCACAAAATCTGCTGTGTCTCTCTTCTCTTCTCGTCATTACATGGCGATAAATCCACGTACGCTCTGAAAAAGGACTTCCACTCGCAAAAATGTTTGAAAATGGCAATTTTCAGAGTAAGCACCAATTCTACCATGAAATATTTTTCCCTTTTGAGGTTGTGAAGTAAATGTGAAAATACAGACAACAGTATGTTGCTGCAGGAAAGATCTTAATAACTTTGCAGTGGGAAAGCATTCTCTAAAGTAATTCACAGGTAGAAAGATGCAGTTTCAACATGTTTTTATCATTGTTGGCTTTGTGTCGGGCTGCCCTGTGAGGTGTATCTGTCCCAAACCCATTTGTCAGAGTAGGACACCTTTGATTAATTGTACAAACCACACTAAAGAAAACAATGGGCATAAACCATCAACAATAACAAGTATTCATCCATAATGACCAAGAAACAGTGTTTGTCCCTCAGACCTGCAACACCAGAAGCTGTTAGAAAGAAAACAATAATACATTACTTCACCTTTGTCTTGCCTTGTCATAATTTCACAGATTGCTTAAGTCAATAAATAATGCTGCAATATTGTTTTCGTGAATTTGTTTGGCCACAATTGTTAAGTATAAATGTGACATCCTCACAGCCTGTCTGAGGATACTGAGAGTAAAAGCCTGGTGATACCCAGGGACCAAAGAGCTAAAACAAACTATAGTGCCAGTAATTCTCAAACTTCTAGTCCGTATCCCAACATTTCTGTGGGTGTTTCATTGATAGGGATGGGAACTGATAAGATTTTACTGATATCGATGCCAAAATCAACTCTGCACATCAATCAAATTCTTGGTCAATTCTCTTATAAGGTCATGCACCACATTATTATTTTACAAAGCTAAGTGGACAGCATGGATAAGGGAACTGTTTCCGATCTAGAACCAGTTTTCAATTCCCATCCCTTAAAGACCTATACTTTGGGTTAACCCCAACGACACAGTGAAGTTACTGTAGATTGAAAAAACTTTTTCCTCTCCATCAGCTTTTCCTCAAGACACTGAACCGCAACAGGGTCCACTTTGGGGTCAAACTTGTTGGCAAACCAGTGACCACAGTTGAGTAACCAGTGCAGTTCTGCTGCACCAAAAATACAAACACTGCGCTTATGTGTCCCAGTGCATAGTGGATACATCTCCCCTTCAAGGTACTCCCACTTTACCAGCCTGGTCTTACTCATCAGGTCAGTGATATCAGGATGGGATCTGGGCACCTCCCCAGGTACACCTGGCATTCGCACAAGTGTAGCCCAGAAGTGTTCATCTGGAGAGTAGGTGTCCTCTGACCAGTCCAGAAAATCCTTCACCACAGGTGAGGAGTTCATGTAAACAATGAAGTCTCGTGACAAGACAAAGTAGGCGCTGCCAGTGAAGATCTCGATGCCATGTGGGGGTGGCGACTTTAACTCCTCCGTGGCCTCTTGCTGTGTCACATTTCCAGTGTTGTCTCTCAGCTCATGGTGGAAGGCGAACCGCTCTTTCTTGCTATCAGTAGGTCGACATGTCTCAAGCATGTTTGCTCCGTTCAACTTCTTCAGCTTTGACACCAGCTCTATGTTCGTTCTGAGGGGGAAATCCTGGCCACAGAGGTTGATGACATACTTCCACTTGATCTCCGACCTCAGAAGATCTGATAGACAGTTGAGATCAGCTTTTAATCGTGAGATGCTTGCATAATAAACAGTTTCTAGCTTAGAGGTTATAAAGACATTTGGCAAACAGCTAGCTAAGCCTTTAATAGCTGATATGAACTCAGCTGAAGACTTTTCATCATAGTGGATACAGTAGATGTTTGCAGGAGAGTAGATTGCCTTGATTAGCCTTTCTACCATCCATGCGTATTTATGAACAACCAAAGAATAAGCAATAGGAAAGTCTTTCTCCTCCTCAGAGACACACACGTCATCATAACCTCTTGTCTTGATGAAGAGTGGACAGTTTGATGTGGCTACAGACAGACTTTCATCTGTGTCTTCAACAAGTTGGTTCTCCCTGATGATCAGTGCTTTATCCACCTCCACTGGGTCCAAGTCATAGATGGCCAAACAGTTGATGTTGTACTTGTGAAAAGGCTGGATGTCTACAGTTGGAGGTGAGGATTCATGAATGCTGCGTCTCACATTGATGAAGAGCAGGAAGCACAGAGTCAGCAGTGACAAAAGTGAAGGGATGAACTTTCTCTTGAGTTTGAGTAATGAACATCTTGGCATCATTCTGCAATGAGAGAGGAAACACAATGAGGGGGAGATGTCATGATATGTTCTGTTTACTGAGTTTTCTCCTGGTTTCATTTGACAGCATTTTCTGTGTTTTCCCTGGTGTTCCTGTTCCCCTGTAGTTCAGTCTTGTGGGTGTTTAGTTTGTCTTTGACCCTGTTTCCCTCCTCTTCTCTGTGTTTCATTCTTTAGATCAGTTTTCAGTATTTATTTCCTGTTTTTCCTCCTTTGTTAATCATTCACGAGTTTCACCTGTGTCTGTGTTGCCTCACCTGTTGCTCGCTTCCCAGTGTGTATATAGTCCCTGTCTTCCCCTCTGTCCTTGTTGGTTTATTGTATATCAATGTGTGTGTGTTGTCGGTCAGTGAGTGTCTGATCTCTTTGTGGTTTTTTCCCCCAGTGCCTTTTCTTTTTGCCATTGGACTTTTGATTGGACATTTTAAAGTAAGTTTTTGTTGCTTTTCATTTAGTTCTTTTTAATAAATCCTTTTTTTGTCTGCATTTGGGTCCTTTCGTTTTTGTTTAACCCTGGACTGTGAAAGGAGAAGTGAAACAGAAAGGACAAGTTACATGTTATTAAACGCTTCGATTGAATCAAACAGTGAACGGAAATCTTTGAAAGTAGGATCCTCAGGGTACTGAGGAGTGGCTTTCTCTTCCTTCAATTGTAAAGAACCAAAGGGCGAGTGATAAAGTATTGAAAAAATATCTTTTTAGCCTTTAAGAAACTTCATGAATCTTGAAAAAATACGGTTTAATTACTACGGTTCAAGCTCACCTTGGTCGGTAGGCGCGTAACGGTCTGTCTTGCACCTTGCAATCCTTTTTCAAAAAGTCCCGACCTGAAAGTTTGGTCCATATTCAACACATTGTTTCCACAATAAAGTTTCTGATTTCAAGGACAAACCACAACAAGAAAAAACTAATATCATGATTGTACAGGTTAAAGAGAGAGGGAAAAAAACTCACCCGGAGGAGTTTGAAAAGTGGAGGGTTATCTCTCCAACATTTTACGCACGTATGATAGCTACGGAGTCCTGCGACAACTTAATTCTGGTCCAGATTCGAGTCTCCATTTGCTGCATGTTATCTGGTGTCATCAAGCTAAGCGGGTACAGTATACTTATTGGCTGCCAGTGTAGTGCCCTGAGGGGGGGATGAGAGGAGAGCGCTGAGCTCCGAGAAATCAACCCGGAAAGGAGAGGGAGGGGCTCAGATGGTAGAGATGAGCGAAATACAGCAAATGTAGCCTGGTATATTTTATATCCCCGCTAATTTTAACCAAGAATGATAATTACATGCAGCGCACTGTGAGATGACAAGCGAGAATAACAGTTGCAGCCGTGCGTAAATCAATGACCCAACAGACCCCTGCTGCTGATTTAGGAGGCTGAACGTAAACTGCGTGGTCAGAGTCATCTGAAATCACTCAGAAAAGGGAGTTAGAAAAACTCCGGCAGCACAAAGCTAAGGCTGTCTTTCACAGTGGCATTCCTTTCCTAGCATACACAGTCTGCAGGGTGAGACCCAGGCTCTTGTGACAAGTCAGAGGGACATGATTAGTGCAACCTGTCGGTAAACAGATCCGGTTATTCGAGTGATGAAGGTGAAGGGGTGAAGTCCCCACCCAACAAATCCTTTAAACCCATGCTTATTTGTTTGTAAAAAAGGACAATAAGAAACAATGTAGTCGAAGAAGAATTTCTTGAACTGAGAGTGTCAAAAGAACATTTAAAAACAACACTGAGGACCAGTAGCGGTTCTAGGCACGGGCGAACAGGGCAGCCGCCCGGGGCGGCATTTGTGTCGTGACTCATGGGGGGCGGCACGAGCACTTCCAAAAAAATAAAATAAAAGATAATAATAATAAATCTTAACCGCAAAGCGGTTTTGTATTAACTCTTGTTGTCAAATTGGCGCCCCCCGCTGCTGTAGGCGCCCCTGCTTGCTCCGGAGGTGCTGCACAGAGGCTGACAGACTGTATGAGACGAGGCGGGGAGAGAGTCGCGGGGGGACTGCTCTGCTCTGTGTACGCATGTCAGCATATCAGCGGGAGCGCGGATACGTCATTTTGTAGTTTTTTAATCATTTCTGGAGTCGTGGTGAATGAAATCACCGTACCCGTCTGCCTCTGATAGACGAATAAAGCGCTCGGGTTCATGCTCGGATCTTGCTACGTGCTTGATGAGCTTCATGAGTAAAGTAAACAATGATGGAGGCAGAGAGCAGCTTCAGAGGAGAAACATCCAGCAGTGTGAACAACCTCTTCATATGGAGTGCTTTGGCTCACACTATCAGCGTTTTCTCTGAGTGTTGCATGACTTTGGGTGAGAACAGAGATGAACACACTGTCAGCCACGTATTTATTTATTCATTTTTTAGTTTTTAGTTCTGCTTTTGTACTGGAACTATACTGGGGCAGATGTATACCCTTTCAACACCTTATTTTCTATATTTACATTTGTATTGAATGGACACTTTATCATGACTGCCACTTGTTTTACAGAAAACAAATTATTTGTCATTCTCCAGTGCAGAGCCTTTACTTTTATTTATACAGCCGCTTTATTTCGTTTAAGTTTGTTTGTTCAAGGTTTTCAAAAATGTGATAAAGGTTCTCAAAACTAAAAGAGAGCTTTCTTGAAAGCCACATGTTTAAGCTCTCAAATACTTTTTGAATTTTGTTTCTATCTACTACAGAGGCAGAGATAGCAGCTTTTTTGTAAACCTCAACACTTCAGAAAACCTCAGGATCTGGGGGCCCTTCTCAAAATGGCCCTCAGGATTGTGTTTTTTTCTATTGAAGGATTTCTGCAATTGAGAAATATTTTATTTTTGTTGTTATAATAATAATAATAATACTACATAGTAATACAAAACTATCTGTTCAAAATTCTATCTCTTTTTGTGTGTGTGTGTGTGTGTGTGTGTGTGTGTGTGGGGGGGGGGGGGGGGGGGGGGGGGGCATTGGAGGGGTGCTCGCCCGGGGAGTAATTTGGTCTAGAACCGCCACTGCTGAGGACAATAGAGGTAGACTCTAGGGCCGAAAATTCTATTTCAAAAAGGTTAGAAAAACACAAAACTAACTCAGACCACCGAACCGTGGCTTTGTCTTAAATCTCTTCTCACTTATGTTTGTTTCCTCTCCCACTTTTACCTCGTTTCCAAACGACTTTTTGATAGAGGTTAACTGTTTTTATATCATTAATATTCATGTGCAATAACACCGGACCGGAATATGACACAGGCTTATATAAAACATAGCTTAGGCTCCTATATTAAATTCTTTACGTCCAAATAGTACAGTTCATCTTTTAAACCAAGCCTGTCCAGCCCCTGGTGATACACTATTTCTGACCTTTTTTCAGAGAAACCAAAACAGGTTTCCCTGACTTTTAGGTGCCACTTTCAAGTGGACACTTGAGGTACGTCCACCCCTTCACTTCGGGTTTGCTGTTTGCCAACTACTCTTGAACTTCTGATATCGTGACATCGGGAATTTTCGTTGCCTCACTGAATTTGTCACATCAAAGCAGCCAACCGAACAATTTGGTAAGTCACAGAGACATTGTCAAAATGTAGATGAGTTTCTTGTCCTAGACAGATTCAGATTTAGTATTTTCAAAGAAACGGTTCCTTAAAAATAGCTGTTAATGATTATAAATATAAAAAAAAAGCAGAAAGACCTTGGTGACAAAGTGTGGGAGTGTTATTTGGATGTGAAGAGCTGATAAAGTTAATGTTAACCAGAACTAACAGTGTCTTCAGATGGTAGATGGAAGAATGTAGCAAATGTTAACCATCTAAGACTGTAGCTAGCTGTAAGTGTACAAAATGAGCATCTGAACTTTTGCTTAAAATACAGAACTGTACTCTCTGCTAATTCTGTACATTAGGTTTCCCACAAAATTCGTCTCCAAAAGCTATGTGGTCTTATACCTGTTGTAATGATATCAATGACAAACTGGCGCACCATCTTGTATCCCATAATTTAAAGGTTATGTTTATCACCATAATGCTTTCCCCCCCCTTTCTTATTACAGGTCAGGCTGTAAATGAAGTATCAGGAATGTGATCGTGAATCACTTGTCTGCTTTGGCTACATGACCTGCTGGTGGGCCCCTACCGTTAAGAGGCAATAGAGGGCACTCTTGCTCTCACTGTCTACCTCATGTCTATGAACAGCCTGGAAGTTGTGAGGTGAGATGAGGAGCTGTGAAAAAATGTTCTTAATCAGCATTTTTTTTCTTTTGATTTAAAAAATATATAAGAGAAATTTAAAAATAGGTTTGCACATCACTTTTACTGACAGTTTTCCTGTTTACAAGCATAAAAAATTATTTAAAAAAAGCATAAAAAAGAATTAATCAGTCTCTGTGCTGGAAGTCTGGTTGGCTTTTGTTAGTCATATCCATGTAGAATAATAAAAAATAATTTCAGTTTTTTTTTTTACTCACCCCTTTTTTTTGTTAAAGCAAAATGATTGTTGCTCTTTTCACATCTGCCTGAAATCATCTGGAGCCCTTGCTTTATGCATATCTCAAGCCAAAGCTCCACCTGGTGTTCAGTGTCAGAGTTACATCAACTCAATGAAAGAACAGTGTCTTATACAGAGACAAAATAAATGCAACTTTAACACAGATTTTTTCCTCCAGAAATCTACAAGCTCCAAACAAAAGGCCTTGGGATCTTTAAGGACCTCTTTTACCCAGCTAAATCCCTTTTTAACTTCATTCTCTCTCACAATAGACTGAGAAGTATTTCAGAACAATACACAACCAAGATCTGTTTGCATCTCTGTCACACTACTGATCTTGCACTTGATGTTACTGCATAGATTCGAATCATTGGGCTGTGCTGAATTATTCTATCATTTATACCCTTACCTCCCATCTAAATCTATCCAAGCTGTGATATTAATGCTGATGTACTACTACAGCCTGTTGTACTGAGTTGCTTCATTCTATAACTCATACTTCCTGTCTTTCCACTTTCTCCATATAGTTACATCCCCAGGCTTACCTGTTTGGGTGACTTCTGTCCAAAAATTATTTTCAAAAAGATGTTCTCATAAAAAGTTACCAATATTTCATGAGCTTTTGGAGGATCTTTATTAGGTACACGTAGTAGATACTGCTGATTGGAACCACTTTTTTCTTTCCTCTAGTTTCTCCTCAAGGCATTGAATTGCAATTGGGTCCACTTTAGTGTCAAATTTGTTGGCAAACCAATGACCACAGTTGAGTAACCAGCGAATTTCTGCTGCACCAAAAATACAAACACTGCGTCTATGTTTCCCAGTGCAAGGTGGATACTTTTTTCCTTCCTGGAATTTCCACTTTACAAGCCTAGTCTTAACCATCAGGCCAGTAATATCAGACTGTACCCGGGACACTTCTCCTGGTACACCTGGTATTCGTACAAGTGTAGCCCAGAAATGTTCATCTGGAGAGTAGGTGTCCTCTGACCACTTTAGGAAGTCCTTCACCACAGCTGAGGAGTTCATGTAAACAATGAAGTCTCGTGATAAGACGAAGTAGGCGCTGCCAACAAACATTTCAATGTCATATGGAGGCGGTGACTTTAACTTTTCTGTTGCTTTCGGACTTTTTTTGTATTCATATTTGGTGTCCCTCAGCTCATGGTGAAATTTGAATCTCTTCTTTTTATATTCAGATGGTCGAAACGTCTCGAGCATGTTTGCTCCGTTCAACTCCTTCAGCTCTGACACCAGCTCTATGTTTGTTCTGAGGGGGAAATCCTGGCCACAGAGGTTGATGATGTACTTCCACATGACTTCTGACCTCAGAAGATCTGACAGGCAGTTGAGATCAGCTTGTAATCGAGTGAAGCCAGCATAGTCAACGACCTCTCGCTTTGAAGTGATGAAGACGTTGGGTAAACAGCCAGCCAAACCTCGAATGGCTGATTTGAACTCAGCTGAAGACTTTTCATCATAGTGGATACAGTAGATGTTTACAGGGGAGTAGATTGCCTTGATTAGCCTTTCCACCATCCATGCGTATTTATGAACAACCAAAGAATAAGCAATAGGAAAGTCTGTCTCCTCCTCAGAGACACACACATCACCATATCCTCTTGCCTTGATGAAGAGTGGACAGTTTGTGGTGAGATTAGACAGACTTTCGTCTGTGTCCTTTTCAAGTTTGTTTTTTCTAATGATTAGTGATTTCTCAACCTCCACTGGGTCCAAGTCATATATACCCAAACAGTTGATGTTGTACTTGTGAAAAGTCTGGGTGTCTACAGGTGGAGATGAATATTCATGGATGTTGCGTCTCACATTGTTGAACAGCACGAAGCACAGAGTCAGCAGTGACAGAAATAAAGCAAAAGTTTTTCCTCTGAGTTTAGGTAATAACTTTCTTGCCATCATTCTGCAGGAAAACAAATAATACAATGAGAAGGAGAATGGAAACAAACAAATCCACATGTGTTTTTTGAAATTTACTACTCAGACTGATTGTATCCTTTCAAAGAGGAGGACTAAAAATATTTGACAACTTTTTTTTCTCTTCTTTACAAATCACTACAACATAACAGCTCATACCGGCTCTCCTTTCACAGCTCGAAATGATCCATTATTGGTTATCCAAGGTAAAAACAGGCTGGAGTAGTACCTTCGATGCGGATTCACAGTCAGTTTCATCTCCCATATTGCGTCCTGGTAAGATCATGATAGAAGAGGGCTGTGCCCTGAGCTACCTAAAGAAGCGCCCGGATACTCTCATTACTGTAAACATTCAAGGCAAACATGAACTTAAAGGCACAAGTGCAACTCAGAGGCACTTTTTTTTATTTTGCAAAGTGTCTTGGGATAACGACTGTTGTGATTTGGCACTACACAAATAAAATTTGATTGATTGAGGTGTATTTTTCAAACATAAATATGTTCAGTAAATATCATGATGTACTAGGATGAAGAAAATGAAAAAAAAAGGGTGTGGCCAAAGACATCTTGGAGGGCAGAACAGTTTTTTTTGTTTGTTTTTTTAAACTAGAGAAATATACAAACCTGTCAAAGAGCTGTACCTTTTGTTACTTCCTGTTTTTACAGTCTGTTGTTATTCAGTTGACTCACCTGATTGCTGGCACGTGCTGATCAGACTAAGACTTGCTTCACACAAGATGAATTTTAGGAGTGCCTAGCAAATCACAAAGATGCTATTTTAAGTGGAAATGTGTACGGCACTGTCGGCATATTTGAGAGAAATGGTGATGAAGTAAACCATTCAAGTGTAGATAGGGATTTTAGATGCATTAAGTCCAACAAACATCTTTTATGTTAGTGCTTCAAAAAATGTTTGGAGTTTTATGTTAGAGTTTGGGTTTTATGTTAAATACTCTCCAACCACTGTTCTGTTTTGTTTTCACTAGGTTGACTGTTGACCCTTTTTTGTCATTTGTGCTCACATTTTACCGTGATGAATGTGTCTTCATCCAAAGGTGCAGGAGATTTGCCTAGACACTACCATCTGCTGGTATGTCTGTGTAATGACACCCTGGAGTTGATATATTTCCAGTTCCTAATAAAAAAGTTTATAATGGTTCCATATTTAAAGAGCTTGTTCCCAAACACCAGCCTTATTTCTTGTTGAAGATTTGGTACTAGATGACCACGCCAGGAAACAGTTTTAGTTTTCTAATGGAGAATGGCACAGGGTTTTTCTCATTTTCTATGGCTGCATGTGTGAGATGTGAGGAAGAAAATGTTTTTTTTACAACCCACTTGTTCATTTTTTCCTAAAACAATTATGCCTGGCATCTCTTTCCGTATTCTATATTCTGAACCCAGAGATTTGAGACTGCACAAACCAGGAAGAGTAGACGATAGCAGTGCAATGTATTCAGAACCATGTTCAATGAGGTTGTTTTTTTTTCCAGTTTATCCCTATGCACTGATATAATTGTAACTACCAAACTGTAAGTCACTGCTCTTTACTATATTTCTGCCAAAAAGTAAGGGATAATGTCAAATTGGTTTAAACTGTACAGAGACAGGATAAACAATCGACATTATAGGATGGCACAGTAAAATTCCACACTTTTTATGGTCCATAAATGTGAAAATATAGACTTATATGGTTCCATTCATACAATATAATTTACATTTGAAAAATCAGAAAAAAAGATCGTAATTCCAAAGGCATGGTGGCTTTTATTTTAACGTGGTGGTGCACTATGATTAATTACTTCTAGTGGAAACCCTGTGTACATTTGAGAGCAAGAACAATAAAGCAAAGATCAGACAAGAGGAACAAAGATTAGTAAGAGCCACAAAGTGCTTTTTTTATGAACATGAACAATGCAGCAACCAATCATCAATGTAAGACCTTTCATCATCACAATCAGTTACATTGTTTTCTCCAAAACAATAACCGAAGTACCAAGTGCTGAGTCACTCACAAAGAGCTGGGCACAAAAATCCCCGAAGAAGAGCAATTTGTGTGTCTACTTGCTCTATTCGCTTGAGATTCAAATATTTTAAACAATATTTTAAATATTTTTAGCTACAGGTTTAAAAAGCACATAATGCCTTTAAATAGGAGACTGAGCATTTTTTAGGAAGCAAAAGTGTCTGACACACCTGAGTGAAAAAAAAATCTGTTGAATTACATTTTGTTATACAGAGTGACAATTAGAAAACATTCAGAATATTTGAATTTGAATAAATCTGAAGGTGATGACAAACTTCAAATGTCTTCTTCTTGACCAAAAATCAAACATCTGTTTTCTTGCTTCGGTTTCTCCTCAAGGTATTAAATCATAACAGAGTCAACTTTGGAGTCAAACTTATTGGTAAACCAGCATAACCAGTGCATTTTGACTGCACCAAAAATACAAATTCTACCACATATTTCCCAGTGCATAATGGATACTGTTTCTTGTACTGGTATTTCCACTTCACAGATAATTTCTTATCCATCACAGCAGTGATGGCAGCTGTGAAGCTGGGTACCTCCCCAGGTACACATGGTATTCAAACAAGAGAATCTCTTACCACAACTGATGAGCTCATGTAAACAATTAAGTCTCATGAAATGACAAAGTAGTAGCCTCTGGCTTTTTTCTGTATTCCAAATCGTGTTCTCTCAGCTTGCAGTAATAGGTGAGCCTCCTCTCCTGTATTTGTTGACAACTTGTAGTGTACAATTTCTGTAAGTAGTTCCAAACAGCTTTTGGAGGATCTTTATCAGGTGCATGTAGGAGATACTGCTGACTGGAACCACTTTTTTCTTTCCTCTAGTTTCTCTTCAAGGCATTGAATTGCAACTGGGTCCACTTCAGTGTCAAACTTATTGGCAAACCACTGACCACAGTTGAGTAACCAGCGAATTTCTGCTGTACCAAAAATACAAACATTGCGTACATATTTCCCGGTGCAAGGTGGATACACTTCTTCTTCTACGTCGCTCCACTTTACCAGCCTGGTCTTACTCATCAGGTCGGTGATATCAGGATGGGATCTGGGCACCTCCCCAGGTACACCTGGCATTCGCACAAGTGTAGCCCAGATGTGTTCATCTGGGGAGAAGGTGTCTTCTGACCACTTCAGGAAATCCTTCACCACAGCTGAGGAGTTCATGTAAACAATGAAGTCTCGTGACAAGACAAAGTAGGCATTGCCAACAAACATTTCAATGCCATGTGGAGGTGGTGATTTCAACTGGTCTGTTATGTTGAGATCACTGTTTTCCATAAGCTTATAGTGGTGCGTATACCTCATCTTTTTGTAATCTGGGGGTCGAGACGTCTCGAGCATGTTTGCTCCGTTCAACTCCTTCAGCTCTGACACCAGCTCTATGTTTGTTCTGAGGGGGAAATCCTGGCCACAGAGGTTGATGAGGTACTTCCACTTGACTTCTGACCTCAGAAGATCTGAAAAGCAGTTGAGATCAGCTTGTACTCGGTTGAAGCTGGCATAATAGACATACTCTATTTTGGAGGCAATGAAGACATTTGGCAAACAGCTGGCGAAGCTCTTGATGGCTGATTTAAACGAAGCAGGAGACTTTTCATCATAGTGGATACAGTAGATGTTTGCAGGAGAGTAGATTGCCTTGATTAGCCTTTCTACCATCCATGCGTATTTATGAACAACCAAAGAATAAGCAATAGGAAAGTCTTTCTCCTCCTCAGACACACACACATCATAACCTCTTGTCTTGATGAAGAGTGGACAGTTTGATGTGGCTACAGACAGACTTTCATCTGTGTCTTCAACAAGTTGGTTCTCCTTGATGATCAGCGCTTTCTCCACTTCCACTGGGTCCAAGTCATAGATGGCCAAACAGTTGATGTTATACCGGTGAAAAGTAAGATTGTCTGCTGTTGGAAGTGAAGATTTGTAGATGTTGTCGTACCTTACGTTGACTGATAGCAGGAACAGTAGACTTAGCAGGACTGAAGATAAAAAGAAGAAAATTATCCATGTCTCAGGTCTCAGTTGAAAACTTCTTGTAGTCATTTTGTGTGGTGTGAGAAAAAAGAGAACTGATAAGCCTAAGCCTAATAATACACAATTAAAATAACTGTTGAACATGGTACCTCCCTATTTGGTATTGACTCACCTTACTGTTTATACACACCAACATATTTTATCTAAACTTTGCAACCAGTCACACAAAGCCACACCCAATAAGGTAAACCTGACAGGAGCATTTATTAATATGTCGTTGATAATGTCTATTGGCCAAAGCACACAGACATGGTGAAATAAATTAATAGAATTTGAAAAGAAACTACGCAGTTCAATATTTTTATTCCACACTGCTGCACTGCAACATTTTCATTTCCCAGAGGGAACCTTTCCAAAAGGATCAATAAAGTTCTATCTGATCTAATCTAAACTGATCTAATCTAACATCTGCTGTCTTTACAATCCTGAATCATTTCCCAAATGACCACACCTCAACATTCATGTCAAAATATTTTTATTTTTCAATTTTGCCAGGAGTATATTGCCTTGTGAAAATTAACCCAGAAAGATGAAGGAGAGAGGCTTGGGGCTTGGGAGGGCAACCTCCTATTTACAGAAAACACAGGTTTTGGCAGGATCTGAAGAAGTGCCGTTTTTGGGAGAAATCTTGAATGTAAACTCTACCCCTCCCAACCAGTATTCCCCTCAGCTTCTGCTCTCTCTTCCCTCTCTGCTCCAGCAAGACCTGCTCACAAAAAGAATTTCAGTTAAATTCAGATATAATGCAGATAAATACTTCAGATATTTACAAATGGGGCCCAGTCAACCTGAAAGTAAAAAGCATTGGTGCTACTGTAGATGACAACAGACTACCAGCAAACACAATGTTTGCAGGACTTCTACAACTAGGATAAAGTGACATAGTCCAGGACCCGAGGTCAACAGTTTAGTGGCGCTACAACACGCAGCAGGTCCTGTTTGACAAGAAACACTTCTGTTACAGACACTTGGCTTACTTTGTTAACGTGGTTTACCTGTCCAGCAGAAAGGTTACAGAGTCTGTAAGATCCCAAAGCCTCCATCATCGTTTATGTTAGCTTCATTGATGTTGACATGGCTTTAGCTCTTGTCAGGTCTACCACCTTTTTAAGCGCCCGTTATTACGCCAGAGTCTCGGGTATGTACTTGGTTTTCTTGCTTGTGTTGGCAGTCGTGGCCGAAGGAGGATTCAGACAAATTTCTGTACTTTCTGGTTGGTTTCTACTGTCTGATATTGTAGCACGCTAACTTTGTTTGGGCTCCTGAACGACACAGGGGAGCGGCGTCTGCCTCACAACCAATCAGCACTAAGGAGCAGCATCCGCCTCACAATCAATCAGGTTGGGGGAGGCGAAGAATGGCTTTGTTTACAGTCAGAAAGAGCGGGCCGCTCAAAATATTCAAAATATTGTCTATACAGACATAACAGAACACAGCAATATTGTTATATTACCAAATGTCATCAATAGCTAATAGCTATTGACTGATATGAAAAGCTTTTTTGTATATACACCACAAAAAAAGATGCTTCTTTAACAGAATCCTGCCTAACCCACCTTTAAGGCCATTGTTTGGTTACTGTGAGGGTGAATGAAAAACTAGTACAATATTTTACAAATTAATGTTGTATAATATTTGAGGGATATATTTTCAAGTTTTGTTTTTAAATTTTCACAATAAGACCTGGCTACAGCCATAGTACAACAGTTAAATCTTAATCTGTAATTGCATTTACATCCTCTGCAACCTTGTGTACCCGTCTGATAAACGGCACGCCACACTCATGGCTGAGCTCAACTGAACTGAGAAAGGAACAAATCAGGTCTTGAAGTGATTCCATTCACGTTGGCAGTTCCGTTCTTTTGAACGAAACATTCATGAACGACACAACACTACTCTTTAACAGATTGTCCATTGACATCTCATGAATGACTATCCAGTACTTTTTCTCTGGTTCCCTGTTGGTAACCCTGCACAGCTGTGGCATGCTGAAATCTCAAAAGCTGCCCCAGTTTTGTGGATTGGACATTGGAACTTTTCTGAGTAGTCTTGCTTTCCTTCTTTTTGCCCGCCTGAATTGGGTGTTACTTACCTGTGGTTTACTGTGGCTCAGAAACTCTCATCATGTTGCCACACCTGTGTGACAGGACAACTGGGGGCAAAACATCTATTGTAGAAACTAATAATACAACAAAAAAACAGCCATGAGTGCAAGTGGAGTTATTACTGTGACACATATATGCAAAATATTACAGAAGTGTAGATGAGATGTTACTGTCAAAAGAAAAAATTCTGATTGGTCAATAGACCAGAATAAACATGGCAGCTTCTCTCTTGCTTAATCAGTTCACAACAAAATTAAGGCTGTTCACAAAAATCAAGACATAACTCATCACAAAATAGCTTTGTTTTTCAAATGGAGCAATATTCCTTTAAAAAATAAAACAGAACTAGCAAATTGCATCACAATGTACACCCCCTGACAGTAGCCCCGTGGCCCTCTCAAAATTTCCATAACCAAGGGATCAATGAAAATCGGAAAGTCAAGTCATGGCAAACCCAGGATCTTCTTGCTGTGAGGCGACAGTGCTAACCACTACACCACTGTGCCGTCCATTGGTTATTTTTCAGCATTGAAAATTCCAACGACACCGTTATTTTTGTGTGTTCTGGATCACAGTATCCAGAATTTTGTCTGGATCAGGATCAACCTTTGACACCTCATAAAACTCATTGAGATCCTTTTGTGTAATTTTTTACCAAAGACTCTGGCCATTTTTATAGAGTTAAATGCAAAAATTACAAAATGTGCCCTATCTCACAATGATAAAGAATCCTTCAAAAGATTCCTGGATCCAGAAGGCGATCCGGATCACCACCAAAATGTAATGAGATAGTCATGGGGCTGAGACGCACCTCTGGTGAAAATTTCAGGTCAATCCGTCGGTAATTTTCTCTGTAAAGTTGTTCACAGACAGACAAACAAACAAACAAACAAACAAACAAACAAACAAACAAACAAACCAACGCTATAATTATTATGTAATTATATATAAATATCACCCTCTGTTGGCTCCATATTAACTGAATTTTAAGATTTAATGAAGCTACATTTTCATCCAAAATACCCACAAAGTCAAGCTTATGTGCTGATTTGCAGCCAGTGTTGTGTCCGGGGTTGGGTGCAGTTGTGTTATCCTAGAGCGGTTTTTAAAGCTCAGGCTTGTACTTAAATAAACTACCTGAGACAGAAGAAGGAAGGACTCAGAGAACAACCCGGATTTACTAATTATGGTTCAGATAAAAAGTAAATATTATTTTTGGCAAGCTAGCCTATATCATTACATAGACAGAATCAGCGGGCGCAGTGACATTTTCGTGCTCGCCAGTGGTGTGTAAAGTGCGCTGAAAGCTCGCCGATTCAAATCTTGTCAGCTTTCAGCGCAGGTGGAGCGCAGCTGGTCTAGTGGGATTTTGGTAGACCGGCGGCGTATTGGCATATGTCACTGATGCCTCACCGGCAGGTTTCCACAGTGTCAGGCACATTTTAGTGCAATAAATAATCATCATCACCTATTAATCTGAGTCAGCACATACATTTAGATCTATATCGATATATTCTGATCTATATGTGATCTGATGAGCGCATTTGGACACACAACCTGACCGAATCAACACAGCTGAAACCGCATTAAATTAAATTAAATATCTAGTAAATAGACACGCATGATGAAGTTAACAAGATATGTAATTCGTCTCCCTCCTTTTCTTTCTTCCTCTTCCTCTTATTTCTCGCACAGCTCGACCTGGACACGTCTCTGTGTCCTCTGTTCGTCTTGCTGCTGCTGCGGCTGAACAGATGATTTGTTTCAGTGATCAGAGGAGTTATTTACTTTAAGCCGACATATGGATATTAAAATATTCAGTGATGTGAGGCAAATTTATTTTATAAATTTAGTACAGTATTTAATGAAGCTACATTTTTATCCAAAGCACCCAGAAAGTCAAGCTTACCTGCTGATTTGCCAGCCAGTGTTGTGTCCAATTGTGTTATCCTGTAGAAGATATAAGTGTATGGATTTGGATTTGTACTTAAAGAAACTACCTAAAAAGAAGGAGGAAGGACTCAGAGAACAGCCCGGATTTGCTAGTTACAGTTCATCGAAGAAGCAAATATTATTTTTGGCAAGCCAGTCAAATCTATGTATCTATATATCTACCTATATATAAATATATATATATATATATATATATATATATATATATATATATATATATATGAATTAAAGGAACACTTTAAAGAAACACATCAGATACATCAGATCTCAGTGTGAAGTTGGATTTCTATACAAATAACGACAGGGCAATGTCTTTGGAACAAAAGGATGCCAATTCTTTCAATGGAAATAAAAGTTTTCAGCCTACAGAGGGCTTAATTGTGTAGACACCACAAAAATCAGAGTGAAATAATGATGTGGCAGACTAGTCCTTTTTTCAAAACTTCATTTCTGCACCTCAAAATGCTTCTCAATATCTTGTGTTGTCCCCACGTGCTTGTATGCATGCTTGACAACATCGCAGCATGCTCCTAATGAGACTACGAATAGTGTCTTGTGGCATGTCCTCCCAGATCTGTGTAAGGGCATCCCTGAGCTGCTGTAAAGTCTGAGGAGCAACCTGGCGGTGCCTAATGGACTGAAACATAATTTCCCAGAAGTGTTCTATTGGGTTTAAGCCAGGGAATCGTGAAGGCCATTCAATTGTATCAATTCCTTTATCCTCCAGGTACTGCCTGCATATTCTTGCCACATGAGGCCAGGCATTGTCGTGCATTAGGAGGAAACTAGGACCTACTGCACCAGCGTAGGGTCTGACAGTGGGTTCAAGGATTTCATCTCGATACCGAATGGCAGTCAGACTACCATTTTCTAGCCAGTACAGGTCTGTGCATCCCTCCATGGATATGCCTCCCCAGACCATCACTGACCCACCACCAAACCTGTCATGTTGAACGATGTTGCAGGCAGCATAACGTTCTCCTTGTCTTCTCCAGACTCTTTCACATCTATCACAAGTGCTCAGGG